AGGTCAGTGATTCTATTTATTTGTTGTTCCCGTCACCGAAAAAATCTCTGACTGGAATTTCTGGACGTCTGGAACAATCAAGAGAGGATAAATTGATCTTACTAGGACCTGACTGGAGTACCTATAAGTTTATTATATGATTGTTATAAGTTTCTGGACCTTACTAGGATAGTCTTATATGATGGTTATAAGTTTCTGGACCTGACTAGGATAGTCTAAAAGTTATAAGTGTATGTGTATATTTGTAGTTATATAATAAGGTTCTTCAACCTCTGTTGCAACTCAGGTGGATGGACCCCTCTGCCGCGGACCCCACACCTCGCAAGCGCCGAAGGTCTTGAGCTTCGCCTCCACCGAACGGAGCTGCTGGTGCACCTCACTGGGGTGGCCAGCTTCCCAAAAGGGTGGGACGTGGGTCACAAGGGGTGACATGGGGGTGATCATGAGTGATCATGAAAGACATCAAGTGAAAAGGCTACTGTTTTCTGCTGCAAATGTCAAAAAAACAACATATAAATAATGGGTTGTATAATGAGATGGGGTGGGTAGGTGGGTGGGTGATTTTTTTTGTCCAAAAGAAGTAGGACATGGTAGCGGATCCACTGCGCCCTGGGGATGGGATGAAATCGATTCAACAACTTTACCGGCACCAACAACCGACATGTTGGCAAGTGCGACGGTTGGCATGGGCCCTTGCAAAGCCTCAACTAAGACCTGGCAGAGAGGTTCCTGCTCTTGTAGTCCTTGTCTTGTTTGGTTCTACATAGCTGCTATAGAGTGACAAATGGACTCATGGACTGCATTGGCTCTGCTTGGACTCCGGACTGCAGAACTGCCAATGGGTTGTTTGCCTTGGAATGCCTTGGAACTTGGTTGGACATATAGCCGTTGGCTTTAGGACCCATAAGTATGTTTACAACCTAAAAACAGGATGTTCCAGCTGCTCTCGTGGAGGCTTTGAATTCGCCCATCCATCCAGATCGGGCCGATGGAATGCAACGTGAGCAGGAGCTGTTGTGGCAACGGCTCGGGTGAGCAGCCCTGTAGGAACACCCCACTCTGCACGGTCGTTCTGACCCATAGGGATAGAGTCCATGGCGCCATGTCCTTATGCTCCCTGGAATCATGGGCCGTTGATGACAAGGCCCCCGACAACTTGGAGGACTCTTCGACAAACAGGCCACTTCCATGATCTATTTCAAGGAGTGATAAAATTTTTCATGTGCCGGGTCAGGCTCCGTGATGCCACCAGGTGTTCCAACATGTCCCCAACCGGAGGTTGTCCAAAGCCTCTTGCCTGAATGAAAGACCAGCATGGATTCAATGTCACCAACCCGAACAGTTCAGCTTCATGGGCTCACTTGCCCAAGCTGCCTGGTCCACTTGAACGGCATCCAGGACAATCAAGTGCAAGCGCCCTGGCCCTGTCGCGTCCGCTTCCTTCTTCTCCTCGAAGCCCAAGGATAACTGATCTGAGCCTCGAGTTCGAGAGCGATCGGCTCATCAACGAACCTAAATGTATAGACCAGTATACAACTATAGTCCCAAACACTCCAAATTCCCGATCAGTTAGAGGAGTTTTGGGATATATGACAGTGTATGGCTATCCCAAACATAAAGCAAGCGCAAACTCATCCAGCCGTTGAATTGCATTCCAGACTATTCCAGAAATATATGTCTTGGCTGGAGAAGATTTCATCTACGTCGTTCTTTTACGAAAGAAGCTTGACAGAGAGAATCAAGGAATCCAAAGCCCTGATTCACGCCGCTGGCGTGATTGCGATGGCAGCACCAACCGTTTCAGATCCACGCCGACCCCCCCATCCGCCCTCATCCAGACTGCCCGCTCCGCGTTGACGCTCCGTCTCCGTCTCCTGCCCGCGTTTGGCCGCTCCGCCCAGCAACTCAAGAACTCTGCCAAGGCCTTACTGGTGGGCACCACTTTCGCCCATCCCTGCCAAACCTCGGGAGCGGTGCACTCGACCGTGATTGAGAGAGCATGGAGGGAAGAAAAAAACTCCGTTCTATCGCATCCCAAAAGCTCGGAGATGATTCCTACTAGATTGTGTTCATATTACACAGATGAATTTAACAAAACGGTGAGGAAACACTGCGAAAAAAAGTAAAAGAAACACATCAACATATATACATCAACGCTTCTTCAGTGCGTGACCTGAACTGACCTGAGGTGACCTTTTGCGTGACCCAACTTGCAGGCCACTCTGAAGAACCAGGACTCAAAGCTTCCCCCCAAAACGATCCGTGGACACGTCGCCGGAAACAGTCGAAACAGGAAGGAACACATCGCAACTCGACCCACCAATGACTCCATGGGATCTGCCAACAAAAGGACAAAACTACATATTCTATGGACACCCCAAACCACTCCATTAGGCGAATCAGGCAGTGTCTGACATCGGTCGTGTCACGGTGTCTGAAATCCCAGTCGCGCTCATCGCAGCTCCATCCACGCTCTTCCCAGGGTTTCGGAAGCGCCAGCGCCCACCCAGCAACCTGAGTACTAGGGCGCCGTGCCACCCAAACGTGCTCGTTCAACGACCCGAAAGCGGCGACTCGCTTTCGGGCTGCTCCTGTTTGCTAAGAGAAGTACTTTGTGGAATATGCATGCAAGTGGATGGCATGGCCCCTTGGATGACCATTTGTTGAATACAAACAGCACTTTCGTGATTATTGTAAACTTCTACCTGCAACATCCAAGTGACGTAGTGCTTGTGGCTGCACTAATGGTGCAGGTGACATAGGTTTGTGGGAGATTATCCTGAATTCAGTGGTCGATGTCTTTGTGTTTTTGAGGAAAGCAAACTCCCTCCCCAAAACGTCGTGAAACCTTGGCGTCTCAAACGTCTTCCCTCCTGCAAGCATCTTCACAATCTTACGACCAGTCAACCAACTAACCCATGCTAATGTAGACCCTTGATTATTAAAACACATATGATGTAAGGTTTTGCGCTCCATGTCGGCGTGGGTGCGGCTATATTTATTCATCTAAGAGGTCTAAAAAATGAACAATTAAACTCCTTGTCAATGGGGAATTGATGGGAATTAGCCCGGCACGTTGGCGGAAGTGAAAGACTTCTTAAGCCCTAAACAGTCAAAGAAACTGGAAAGCCGTAAACAAAAGCCGTACAAGCAAAAAGAAACCCCGAAGAAACACCAATACCGCAAGGTGGGTACCCTGTCAGGGTTGGAAAACAGTCTCAGGTTGCCTGACTCCATCCGCCCCTTTTCGACCGTGCTCCACCAAGCCACCCGGGACCTTGCGTGCAAACGCTCAAGTGCGAGGTGGCGCTCACGCCACAGGCGCGGTAGGAGCGACGGATGAAGGTTTCCAAGGCCTTCCCACGTACCACGGCGTCGGTGTCCCAGAGGATGGACAGGAGCAAATTGCCTCGGGCAAGGAACCTCCGAGTTCAACCCGGTAGGTACGCGGACGTCCGGGAAAATACGTGACGTCCGCACGTAAAACCTGGTGTGTGACCTGCTGGAGCAGTGTTTTTGTATGACCAACTCCAGTAAAATGAGGTCATTGACTTGTAGGGAAAAGTTGAAAGGCGGAAGGCAGGGAACTGGAAGAAAAGGCCAAGGATCAAAACATGGGACACTTTGGTTGATCGGTTCGAATGAACAAATGCCTTTAGGGATGTTAACCTATCATCTCCTATCATTAGGTTGGTGGGGAGGTTTGGACTCATAGCCAAACTGGGGTCACCTGGACAACCCCCAATATGTCTATAGGACTAAATGTAGGACGCCCTGTGGAAGCACTAGGCATTCCTGCCTTGCACAAAGTATATTGATTGGTGCGGGTTCCTTCTTAAATGGACAATTGGCGAGCCCAGAACCAAGTCATTGATGTTGTTTGACATCTGTGGCCCGTGTCCAACAGATCGATCCCCCGGAATCTGCCACAACAAGGCGCATCCGGCGGAGTGCGAGGGCCAAGTGGAAATCTTCCCAGCCTTGGGATTGGAGGAACGTGTTCAGTCCGACAGTGAAATGATCTTCAGAACCACTTCGGAGGCAAAGTAGCCACCCTAAGGCAGGTTGGCCCAACAAGTTGGTGGGTCCAAAGTATTCCACTCCTGAGATGTTGGTGGGCCTCTACTGGCCCATACTCTCGGTTAGATGGGCCAAAGCACCTCTTCGATCTCTCAGACTAGTCAGACCGGGGACAGGTTAGGTCAGGTCACAGGTCACCGCAAAGCACGTGTTTCATTAGAGCATAGAGTGGGACAGAACGCCCATGTTGTAAGCTAGCTTGGGTTTCTCCCCTGTTCGTGTTTAGTGGGGAAACACATCTCCCAAATGGTTAAAGTTTATCCACTAACTGGGCAAGGTATGGAGAAACCAGAGTCACTACGGATATGAGAACCCAGTTCGAAAGACCATCTGCAAACTGGTTTTCTGGCAAATGCGTCTTCAGAAGGTTAGTCCTTCATGTACCTCCCGTGCTGTTCAGGGACGGAGACATCCTTCTTGCTCGTACTCTCCTGCCAGGCAGCAGCCAGCGAGGTGCGCAAAAGCCGCACCCTATGTCTGAGTCGGGCTAGCTCAAATTGCTGTGAATCTGGAGATTCCAGGATTAGAGGCGCGGCTATATGAAATATGAATGGTTAAGACGGTTAAGTAACAACAAACATAATGGCTGCGTAAGTGAGTATAGATTGCAGTAGGTAGGCCCCCAAAACAAGCTGGGAAAATAGATGAAGAAACTTCTGGTGGTGAAATCTTCTATTTTTCAGCCAAGCACCATTGACATATACCCATGTCACCCATTGTCACCCGGCCATGTCTTTGAACAGTTCCCGCGTCACTTCGGTGCGCCCCAAGAACCTTCGGAGCTTCTCCAAAGTTGTTCGGCAAAAGACCCCAAACGGGACGAAACACGCCCGGTTCATCCAGGTGTTCACCCGGACCAACTCACGGTGCCTTGAGGGCAGTGCGCAGCTGTGAACGTCGAGTCTCCCAGGGTTGTCGGTCTAAGATCTGACAAAGGCAGCGCGCCTCGGTGGGAGGCACCGGTACCGGTGACACCGGTGACTGTGACAGACTGTGACCTCTGGTGAAAGCTGAAGAACATGGAAAAAAACCAGCAGAATTACAGAATACACCATTCTTTCGATACTCACTTGTTTGGACAAATGGAGGACTGTACGCTCTGATGTCGCACAACAACACCACCTCCGGCTGCGGGTGGGAAGCCGTTTCTCAGGTGTGGCTGGGGAGAGTTCTCCAAATAGGTTTGGGCGGCGCCCCACTTGGATCATCCCAGTGACGACAATCCTACTTGGCAGGGTCCCCTCAGCCTCATACAAGTCCCCTTGCAAGTTTGATATAACCAGCATCACACATTATCCTGCACAGCCACACGCCCAGCCTGCATGCATGAACCTTTTGTATAACGATAATTTAATTAATATATCATAACACGTCATATTCAAACCCATATCACATTACTTTTGTTCCTATCAATCCTGTCCCCTGCAAACTACACACAAGCACCAGCAAGATTGATTCATGCAACGAGGCAGAGCGGACCATGGTTTGGAACTTGCCGCAACAAAAACAGGCCGATTGCTTCTATATTAAGGTTTCTTTCCGGACATCTGTTGTACCAGTGTTACCTCTGGCAAAGCCTCCATGTTATTTGGAACCCTTTGCTTGGCTCAACCTACTCAACCGACCCAAAACCATCTCATCAGCAGTTTTTGAAATGCCTCGAGCAGCGGCCAGGGGGCAATCCTTAAAAATGTGTTGGGCTTGGTCAGTTTGTTGGGATTTGGAATGCAGTCAGCGCCAGGCCCTAACCAGCCCTAACCATGTACAGCCTCGGGGGTCTTTTGGAAAATCGCGTCCAAAAAAACAGCTCTGGACTTGGTCGCCCTCTTTCATCCGCTTGGTTTGGCCAGGTGTACACAGTAAGTAAACAGAAACACACAACAGATTCAATATACCAGGGAACCACACGAACGAACTACAGTCCTCTTTTTTCAAGGTCGAAAAGCAAATAAGTCTTCAAGGTCTTCATTGCTTCAAAAAAGGGGTGACGAGGGCGATGCCTGTCATTCATGCTCCTTGCAAGACAAGTCGCTGGTAGAAGCACCTTGGTCTGCAAGGCTTGAATCGATGGCTGTCAAAGGGACCTCACCCCACCAACCTGTCTGGTGACGCCAAACCTGTCTGGTGCTTCAGATCCTTTTTGGAAAACCGGGTTGGTCTCCGTGCCGGCATGTCAAGATCTCTTCGCACCGGGAATCTCCATGCTTGGTGGCACAAACCCAAAAGATGGTGCGTTCTTTCACGACCAAACGCCCTCATGGGGTTGGTCGAGTCTATTATGCCAGTCCCATTGTATTTCATATGCCAGTCCCAAAAAGGTCGTGGATCTAGAATCTAGACCCTCAATCCCTTGGCCACCCCCCAACCTCTTCTGCCAAAGGTGTTTGGACGTGAGCAAATGTTGGACGGTTTTGGATGTGACCGGCTTGCGGGAGAATCTATCTATCTATATAAATACATGAAACCATGATAAACCATGCATGTCTTTCACCACTCACAACCTATATCCTATATCCTGGTCTTTTAAACAAATTCTGGGTAAACCACATGTTTGGGACCCTAATGACTTGATCCACCTGAGAGTCTTCTTTGCTACTTCTCTCACCACCTCAACCCGGTCGCACCGCGGATCGCCGGGCCACCGGGGAGTAGTGGCCGTGGCTGGGCATCTCCGAGAGCTCGGACAACAGCTCGCTCAAGCGCTTCCAGTGGCCTTGTTCGGAGGCGACGCGGCAGGGGGGAGCAAGTGGGTGGGATCTATTTGGATGGATTTTGAGCTATATAGATTGGATCTATAGGTGGGATAGGTAGATCACTTGGGGTCTGGAAGATCCAGCTAGGGTTCTTTCAGATCCAAAGTGGAATCTTTGGGGGGATTGTTGCTAGCACAAGGATGGGCCAATGACTGCGGTATTTTGGATGGGTCTAGAAGGGATTTTCTATCAAAGCGGCAGTTACTTTTCACCCTGACTCAAGAATGATATTGAACAAGCATTTCACCTCTGCATATAATAACAAACTAAAATGGGATTGTCGCACCAATAGTTTGCACATGTTGCTTGGTTGATAGCGTTTGTGTTGAACCATGACCGCAAGGAAACTGATCCACGACAGGAGTGAGGATCGAAAGTTCAACCTTGCTGCATGCCAATTTGGTTACCTTACAATATAGTAGAATGCACAACTTTTCCGATAAAGGCAAATGGATCGCGCAAAATTCACGGTGACACGTAGTGACACGGGTTTTAAATTAACGGTGAACTCCCGGTAGAACATGGTAGAACCATGGTTCTTGCGAAACATCTGTCAAGTTTGCTCGTCACTCATCTGCCAGTCCCAAAAAACAGCCACTGCTTTCACGTCCGTTTGATCATCGCCAGTCTTCAGGTCAGATCGAACACCACGGGACCATTGCTGACTCCCTCAGTTTCCCTGGAAAACAAAGGTTCTGCCTGCCTTTTTGTTTTGAATAGGGACACCAATTCCCCAAAAAAGAATTCAGGTATCTTCGGGTTATCCACTGTTTCTGAGTGGGGAAACGAAACCCTGCCTTCTTCACGGATGTGGCGCAAGGTCTTCTGCGAGACCTGCGGCGGTGCAAACGAGTCCTTCGGAGGGAGAACACAAGGACTGTGATCCGGAGGTGTTGAGGTTGTATTCAGGAACCAGCTACTTGTACAACCATCCTCAGAGTTCTTGTCAACCTCAACACCATCAGAGGCTACTCAGAGGCTACTTGTACAACCATCCTCAGAGTTCTTCGGCTTTCTCGTCGGCCTCTCGGTTCAGGAGGCCCTCCGACACTGCTCTAGGCTTGTCGTCGCTGGGGCGCGGCTCGTGGACGGGCAAGCTCTTCCTCGGCTTCCGAGGAGGTGAGAAAAGGCTCTTGACCGACGGTTCATGGGTGCAGTTTCAAGAACAAACTCCTTTAACACCTATGGGTGGTTCATTGCCTAGAGACCCCCTCAAATTCCAAGGGGATCTAGTTATAACAATCCATGCTAATCCATGTATGCGATACTTGACTATACTTGACTACATTAGGGTGGCTTAGGCTTTAAGATGTTTTGAGGGGTCAATGCAGAAACAAATGATGGATTCTGGGGGATATATGGTCCACACCCCTTTTAGCACCCCTTGCTTTGGCGCCGCCTTCCCTCCGTCTTCCCTTCGCCACGCGACAAGCGCTCCATGACGCCGGCCAGCAACTCGCTGCGGAGCCTCGGAGGCTCTCCGCACCGGACCGCGAGCGGTCCGGTGTGGTCGCGGTGCTTCTTCTAAGCATCCTCTTGCATTCCTTTGTGGATTCTTTGGACGGAACAGCAGTGATTTGGGGAAGGAAAGCTAACGAAAAAGGGGGTGCGAGCAGATGAAGAACCGATCTGGAGGATGGAAGGACGAGACAGCTTCCAGCTTTCTTTCATTCCAGGATTGTTCGCTTTGGTCATGACAAGGGTCATGACATGACAAGGGATTCTTGCAATTGCTCCAAGTTTTGAAGGTCCCTTTAGTCCTTTCACCTGATATGTCTGAATCGATTAGGAATCATATGTGACAGGTATTTATTGCATAGTTATACATAGTTATTTAAGCCTTTTGTGATACCAACTGTAGTCTTGCTTGGACCATGGCATTGGTGACGTGTCACTGGATGTCGCCCGGAGAAAAAGAACTGCCCCCGTTGTCTCTCCATGTTTCCTTGTGTCAATCTCATGATGTTCATGGTCTCCCCTGGTCTTTCATTGGACAAATCACAGGTTCCAAAGATTAAAGATCCAAAGCACTTGGACGAAAGTCTCTTCGTCTTTGCAGGTCGAGACCTCTGATCCCTAGCCCCTGCGGTACCCAGGAGCTTCAGCTGGCTGTGCGCTCGCAGCAGTCCCAGCTGGACGGTGAAACCTGACGGCTCACCTGGACAGGGTGGGCCAGGACGACAAATATCGATGCAGGAACTTTTCATGAGACACCTCGTTTTAGTGGCGATTCCTGGGAGTTTCCACTTGTCCAAGTACTTCCTCTTCAAGATCGAAGTGACTGAGATCTCGAGCTTGGTCACTGGGAAGGTCAGCCGGAGTTTGGATGTGTCCAAAATGAAGTTTGGACAATTTGATCTAAACGCAACAACATGATTGGATCAGGGCAAAGGACTGTTCGCCTCTACACGCATGTCTGCAGTGACCGCCATCTTCACAAAGTATGGCCTCTGGCATGGCGAGCAACTTTGGATTATCTTCACCACATGACTTCAATGAGATACCGTGAGATACGAGACATGCCACCACCCACAACCATCCCGAAACGCCCCCCCCTCCAAAAAGACACACACACACATCTCCCCTGGTCCGATGATTTCCCCACCATCTCATCCCCATCGAGATCGCGGCCGAACCCGTTCTCTCGTCACGGGAAACGAGGCCGAACCCACGACTCACGTGCTGGGTGCCCTGACTGTCCTGGAGGACTTGACTCACAGCCAAGTCCTCTCCACCGGCCATGAGTGGCCCAAAGCGCCGCTCGACCTCCGAGCTGGTCGTGTGCGGCGCAGGTCGAGTAGAAGAAGAGAAGGTGTGGTCACCCATCGCGAAAAGAAAGAACGAAAGGATGTAAAATACAATTGAAACTTATTGAATATAGAAATAACTAATTTATACATAATCTATGATTATATAAAGATGATTAAAGCAACCCATTCATGAACATTCATAAATAACATCCCATGGAAAAACAAATGCGGTCTGCCACCTTTTTCGGATGATTCTCTGAGCTCTTGTGCTAGCTGGAGGTCGATGCGATCGCGACAGTCATTCTCCGCAAAACGCGGGGCAGGGCTCCCGTCGCGTGATGACGGAGCTGCGTGCACCTGCAAGTAGTACTCCAAGAGCTGCGTGGCTGCCTGGAGCTGTTGCTCAGTGTTCTCCTCTTCGCTGAGGCCCAGCTCCTGGTTTCACCAGGCCGACAGCTGCAGCCAGTGACTGCATGAGAATGATCCTCTGTGGATGTTGAATTTGTTGGTCATGGGCCAGGACCTTCAGTCAGTGACCTCGGAATCTCTGTTGGTGAGCCTTCATCCTATTAGGATGATTCTCGACATGAGATCTTTTGAGGTCACTGGCGGGCTGAGGGGTCCTGCGCAGTGGACCTTTGAACGATCTTAATGTGATTTCCTGTTTTCAAATCACTTGAACTTAATGAGATCAATCACCTCAAGATATCTCAAGTAAAGGTTGAAACAATACCTGAAACCACTACCCAGTCATGGCTAAGCTTCGATACAAGCAGGGGGTGCTGAACGCTGGTCGTGAACGCGGTGGTCATGGTGACCAAGCCGTGCCTCATGCAACGCTCCATGAGACTGATGTGATGCTCCCGTGTCCATTACCTCATCTCACGCGCCCTTAGAACAGAACATGTCAGAACCATACGGGGGCCCAGAGCCCTCGGAGCTTCGGCTGAGCTCGGCTGGCATCCTCACTAAGAGTACGAGATCCCCATGACCCTCTAGGGTGTCGAGGGTTTCAGGATGGGCCTGGATGCAACTTGTCCCACAAACCCGAGGCTTGAAGCATCGGGTTCAAGGTCACAAAGGTGGAAGAAACACTAGGCTAGCTCCATGTCTGCGTGTCTCAAATGGTGATAATTCTGGTATTACTTCCACTAAAGAATTGAATACGCTGGTCCTGCAGCATGTATAACACCTTAACATGTTGATGCGATCTGTGGAGGAAAACCCATGGAACCACTGTATGTTCCAAAAGTGCAACGAAGAGACTGAAAGTTGATGACTCAGAATTCAACCCAAAGAAGCAAAGCTCCACCAAAAAGGCTTCCCACAAATCCAAAACGGACAACCCCCACACATGTCTCTTTCCACTCATGCACTAGTGCTGGAAGGAAAACCGATCGAAACCAATCTCTTCACTTCCAGCATTTCCAGACATCAAACAGCAAGCGGGCTGATGCCACTCCTGGAGGAAGATCTCCTGCGCTAAGTCCTCTGCGCTTCCCAGGCATTCGAAGCCGTCCAAGGCCAGCAGTGCCTGGAATTGGCCGGTCAGTGCAAAACCGTCAGCGCGCGCAGATGCGTGCAAATGCGTACAGGCAGCAGCACTTGAAGTCTTGGGCTTGAAAATAAAATGATACACCCAGGGAGCACAATAGCGAGCAAAGACCTGCAGGGCAACTGTAGGGTAACGGGGATGAATAGAACATGCATACTTTGTAGAAAAACAAGCCATGCAAGCAAACATTGAAAACAATAACAACAAAACAAACAACCAGGCGTGGACCTTTAGTCAGTCGAATTTCCTCTGGACACCCTTGCAAGAGTTGAGATAGTTGAGGAGTGTTGTCACCATCATTATAGTGAAGCCATTCTTGGACTTGGACGGTGCTGATGTTGCAAAGCATATACTGAACAAACACAAAGTACCAAAACACCTCCCTACTGGCTGTTCATTCAAGGATGAACCGCATTAGAGATGCCAAAAGTTGCTCATCGTGGCCAAAGCCCATCTGCAGGTTTTGGATTCCGAAGCCTTCCTTCTTGAGGCTGCCTTGAAGAAACTCCAAGGAAGTGGGGGGAACCATTTGTTTCCTCCATGTGTCTATCCGATGTTTGCCAAGCTTCGGTCACACCTTCCAAGAAACCAGGTTGGAACGGGAACGGGTTTGGTGTTCCCCACTAGGGTGAAACATCCTATAGGATCCTATAATGTCGACTGTTGATTGAACATATTCGACCCTAGCAAAAAGTTGTTGCATTTCCATACGGGGAGTTTTATGCAGCAAACCGTCCACATGGCAGGGACCTGTATCAACACCTCCCAACCCAGCACAGTAGCCTACGTATTGCGGCCGCCTTCTTCAGCGCAGTGTAGCCCAAAGAGTCCAGTCCAGACGCCTGGATGCTTCACCAGGCGATGTCTATACCCAAACAATCCATCTATGACATACATACCCCTCTGCAAAGGACCACATGGACCCCAAAACCACGGCAGGTTGGTCTTCGGGAAGATGTCACCCTAGTCTGCTGGGCGGTACGTCTTTGCCTTAAGTCTGTCAGCTTTGGAACATCACCCCAGAATCAGATGTTGATTCGGGGTCTGGGCGGTCTGGGTCTGTTTCTTAAGTGAGTGAAGCAGTGAGACCACGTGGCATGCAGGGCATGCAGGGGAGCCGTCGCATGACCGGTCTCTGGGGCGGTCGCCCTACCCGGCGTAGCCCATACCTAGACCTGCCCTTTAAATCCTTTCAGAAACCCAGCAAAGCTTGGCCGCAACCCAAGGCCAATGCCATATATGCCATCCCTTTGCATCCTTATATGCCATATATGCATGCCATCCCGTTGCGTCCTTTTGCCAAAGTTGTGTGTTGATCCATTGATCCCCGTGCAGCCGAACTTCGTGAAACATGCGCCTGTGCCGTGTTTCACGAGCGCCGGAAGCGCCCGAGCGGAGCGCGGCCCGTTGCACCTTCGATGCGGGCAATTGGAAGTCACCCTTGAAGCCGATGAGCTGCTGCACGCTGCTGGGGTCCTCCAGCAACCAACCTCTTCAGTCCAGACTCTGGAGGGGCTGAAAGCACATGGTCACACAGAGCCAAACTAATTAAAAAGCAAACGCATAATACAAAAGCAGAGTGAACATGTTGGAAAAAGCCCTCAGACCTCCAGAGTGAACTCTGGAACCAAACTGAGGTTACGCATGGTTGTCGCATGGAGAAGTAAACTTGTTGTGTTGGATTCAGCATGTGAGCAGGAAATCTCTGAAGTCTCTCTGGGTCGACGATCTCAAAAACATCGAACCCGAATGGAACATGATCCGCAAATGCTTTTATCCTGAAGTAATCATGGAAAGGGAAAACCACCATGGCTATTCCGGGGAGTGCAAATTGAGGTGATATGTGATTTGTCCAGAAGTACATTTGGGAAGCATGGAAACTGCTCCATACTCTGAGTTTTGGGCAAAGTCAAGCATTCCAACAGCAACAACAACAACAACAACAACGAATCCCATGTTCACCAAGACCTTCTGGACCACCTCCTCCCCTGCCAAAGAACAAATGCGCTCCCCATTCCTCATGGGAACCAGGCCACGTGGCACTTGTTTCACCAGGCCACAACCTGCGGATCGCGGATCGCCGAACCAGATCGCCCCGTCTCCTGCTCAGTCGGCTCGAACGCTCGCGTACTCGCGCGGGTCTCCTGCAACTGCAGGGTGCCCAAGAGCTCACCTGCTTGGACGATGCTGTTGGGACCCTTGAGCTGCTTCAACTTGCCAGTGGCCCGTGCCTCGCGACAGTGCTGCGTGTGGACTTTGTGGGCACGTTTGATCGTTTAGATCAGTGTAGAAGTGCAAAAACAAGAGATCTGTGTAGAAATATGGAGATAGGTTGACAGATAGACAAATAGATAGATAGATAGATAGATAGATAAATAGATATAGATAGATAGAATAGATTAGAACATATTTGACAAAACTAGATAAGATTAGAGTAGATAATATATGATTTTAAATTAGATTAGAATAGTAGATCGATCATTAGATATTAATCTACCCAACGACAATTATCCTTAAAGCCCCGCAGCCAAATAGGGCAGCACCATTAGTACATCACTTCTCAGATCCTAAAGGCAAGACAATGTAGTACAATCATTCCCAGCTCTCCCTCGCTTCAACCCATCAACCCACAAACCAACAGGCCGGTGGTGTCGAACCGCACCCGCGAACCGCACCGCGGTCAAATACCCGGACCGGACCGGACCGGTCCGGACTTGACCCGTCGCGTCGAGGTCGGTCGTGGATCCGCCTTGAGGGGCATGATCATCTTCATGGCCTCCAACTCGACGTAGGCCTCGTCCTTCTTCACCAGGCCGCCTCGTCTGCTTTTTCATATGCGCCGCGAAGCACGATGGCTCCAGGGAGGACGGACCGGAAAGTGTGGCGGGAAGCCCGATGCCGCAAACAAAAAAAGAACAGCCGAAGCGTTTTCGTTTGTTGTTCAGATCGGTGAAAAGGTGTTAAAACATATATGGCCATGGGGGATCACACTCAGATGGCATTCGCAAAATGCCTTTGGAATGCCATCTGTTTGTGACTTTGGCATCTCAGATGCCATCTAGCAAACCCAGTCAAAACCAAGAACAAACAAATGGCATCCAGGTATTTTTGTTGCAATCCGTTTGCAACAAAACGCATCAAACCTCTATGGTATCCACGAGTGGAGATGCGAACTGCCAGGAACAAATAGCAAATGAGCCACCATTCCGGCTGCACACATTGATGGCATCCACTTGTTCAAGCCCTGCTCTCCGGTAAGAGGTTTAGGGAGCCGGTTTCCACCAGTCTGCTCTATGCGCCAGATGCTATCTGAGTGTGATCCCCTATAATTCTATTGCTTGGCCAGTCTGCAATTGATCCAAAGTCAAGCCAAGTACCACAACAAGAGTCCGATAAACATGTTGTTGGTTAATAACTGCATGAGGACATATCAGTGACTACATCCTGGTGATACCAAACAAACAACTAATTAATTAAACTGTTGGCAACATCGGAGTTTCGACCATCCATTCACCAAGACCTGGGTGGTGCATGTGGTGCACTCCCACATTACCCCTTTTCAACATCCTCATGCCTCATACAAGCAACTAGAAAGTGAAGCTATTTTGCAACTTTCAGGTGGCAAAGGAGAGTTGATTGACATCCCTTCATTGTGTCTTCACGGCATCTCAACGAATACATTGGAGCCAACGTGGTCAAATCAACGTAACTTGCCAAAGACTGCTCCAAAAGAAACACAACATCTTCATCTAGTCCATCCAACATGTCCACCTTTGGCATGGAGAACACTTCAAGGGGCGGAATCCGAACGAGAACGATCAAGCAAATGACCCGAGAACGACCCAGTTCGTCGGGGTTAGAGCCGGATTCGGAAACTAATCGGTCGGATTCTGAAACTAGGGTTCTGAAACTGGGGTTCTGAAACTAGGGTTCTGAAACTTGGATTCTGAAACTGGTATTCTGAAACTGGGGTTCTGAAACTAGGATTCTGAAACTGGGGTTCTGAAACTAGGAGTCTGAAACTGGGATTCTGAAACTTGTATTCTGAAACTGGAAAGTCAGATTCTGCAACTGGTATTCTGAAACTGGAAAGTCAAATTCTGCAACTGGTATTCTGAAACTGGAAAGTCAGATTCTGCAACTTGCCTTCTGAAACTTGCAACTGGTGATCTCCACATCATGCGATAGCGTGTGTGCCTGTGACATCACCTTCGAAGCACATCCAAACCAACGTCATTAGCCCCCCACCCAACCCCCCCACCCCCCAACCCCCCCTTGTCCCCATCGTGTGATCTCGACATTCCTCATCATTCACAAAGTTGTGGAATCCTAGGAAGGGAGTCCACAATGTTGCGGAATCCTAGTTGCGGAACGCCAGTTGCGGAATCCCAGTTGCAGAATCCTAGTTGCGGAATGCTAGTTGCGGAATCTTGACAGTTGCGGAATCCTAGTTTCGGAATCCTAGTTGCGGAATCCTAGTTGCGGAACTCTAGTTGCGGAATCCTAGTTGCGGAATCCTAGTTTCGGAATCCCAGTTGCAGAATCCCAGTTGCGGAATCCGACCAAACAGTTGCGGAATCCTAGTTGCGGAATCCTGCGCAGTTGCGGAACTCGACTTTATCCAGTTCGTCGGTCAAATACGCCACGGAGTCCAGCTCCGCCACGGATGTCTGAAGCTCTGTAACACCCATCCGGCCATGCGGAGGCCATGGGAGGCCCCCGTGGGGCGCGGTTGGCTTCTCCCAAGTCGAGTCGTCGAGTGGTCTTGGCAATCTGAGTGGTCCGGGTCCAAGAATAGATGGCTGAGGGTCAAGAGCTCTCGCAACAAACCATGTAACAAACCATCCCTTAGTTGAGGAACTCTTCCTTCGGCCTGAGGATCCACCAGGACGGAATCCAGCTTTTGATCCACAGCTAATACCAACCTGGGGATGGGGCGTTCAACCGACCATGTTCGCCCGGCCAGCCGTCGCAAATTCCCAGAAAGACCACCAGGTAAGTCAACGGGTTGGGTCAACACTCGTCGCCCTGTTCTTCTCTCACTCGTCCCCCTCCTCCTCGGAACGCGCCTTCGGGCACCAGGTATCCTGACCCGAATGGCAGGTCACCAACGGCCACACATCCACCCACGTGAACGGCGGCGGCGGCGCAGGTTTGGGTGGCGAAAACAGGTACACAGGTGGCCCGCCCACCGGTTGCCCGCCCTTTCCGGTTGCTTGGCTTTTGGGGGTGAGTTGTCAACCTTTCCAAACGACCACATGGAGGGCAAATGTTGACGCGAACACCATGCAGCATGCGACTTCTTTCCCAAAGGCATTCCTTGAGGTCTTTGAACAGCAAAAGAACGTCAAAATCATCAAAATGGAACTGCACAAGGAATCCGCCGGCCCTTGGGCGCGGCGTGTTTTAGGTGATTGGTTTGTATGCTATCCTAGTAGTAGTTTTGTTTTTAGTCTAATTGTACGCACGGCGCGGATTTTTGACAAGTCTAACTTCCCCCCCCCCCCCCCCCCCCTTCCCCCCCCCTCAGCCAAAAGGGCCGGCGGAACAATCCGCAGGGGTAAATATGAAAAGGAAAAGTGAAAGCATTCTACCTGGACCCTCCAACGCAATCCATGTCTTTCCTGCAAAAACCCACGATTCATCAGTCAGTGAGTCTGTCTTGACTCATTACAACAATAAGGTTTTGTTGACTTGAAAAGGAACTTCCTTACACAAAAGGTGTTTGCAGGGCGTGAAAATCCAACAACCGGCGAGCAGCTCTAGGGTCAACAGTAGCAAACGACACCCATGTCTTTGTCGCACCCAATTCAGGAATCGCCCACTTTGTCCAAGGGGCGCAGAAAACACATTGGTCGAACATCAATGAATCATACCTCTTGCAACAGCACAGACCATTGGAATAATTGTTCTTTTGAACACATGCTAATATTAAAAATATTATTCCTTGTTTTAAGTTATCTTCACGGATCAGATCTGTACTGGGGGCCACACTTGTTGGTGTTGACCAAACAAAACCTTTAAGGCGACTGTGTTCCTTCCGGTGAGTGGGTCGAAGCACCGAAGAACATCCGCCAGGTAAATCACCAAGGCATACATGGTACGGTAGGTATTAAACGTAGACTGAGTTGGTGCGAGGGTCGCCAAGGTGTGCCTGAAAACAACGCAACAATGCATGACTACATGGAGTCTCAAGGTACCTCTGAACAATGGGTACCAAGTACATATTTCATGAGGAAACTGGCCCATTGTTCTTAGGTACTTCGGGTCCAGGTACATGTAGCATCAAAATCCAAACCTCTCCAAACTATCCTTACTTACTAGACCAAGTCAATGGACTCGACACACTTGGAACAGATCGGAAACGTTGTGAGGAAAACATGCATTGATCCTCAACCTTCGAAACCTGCAAAAACCCTCTTGGTTAAATTTATTGTGAAAAGATCGTGTTCTCACAATGTTTGGGACTAAACTGGGACAGCTGGGCCCACCTTCCAATCACAAAAAACACGATTAACAAAGGGTAATTTGATGTTAACTTATTGTTTTCCGAATGTCTCTAGCTGAACAAATTGTTTCTCAGTAGGTGGGGAACAGTTTTTCACTGCCGTTGGCACTCGTGCTGGGTCCAATACCTCCACCGAGAGGCGCATCACTTTGCCATTGAAGTCGGAACGCAGTTCGGATGCGTCGAAAACGGTGGGCAGGAGCACCTGGACATGATGGACATCGAGAGATGCTCTATCCCCACAAGTCAATGTATTGCAATAGGGCGAACACAACTACTACTGGCTTTGTGTTGATCCCTCCATGGCTCTGGCTGGGGGGCGTCTCCCTTTTTCAATGCGCAACTTTGTGGTCGCTGGCAGTGTTCATGAGTCATGCTGGCTGACAGATCCTTGCAGCCAGCCTACGAAACACCTACGCTCGCCGACGCAGTTGCACAATCTCTACATTTGGCTTTTGCAGAAGGAAGGCCTACGCCGCCACAAGCTACAAAGCAAGCAACTGCCAAGTCCGCACACGGCCAATGCCTGCCACCCGGGCGCCTACCCATCAGAGCGGAGTATCACCTCATCATCTTCATCTCACCACATGCCCCCACAATCACACAATCACAAGGTAGCAACTAGTTCAACTTTTGTCCTGTCGTGAGACTCCCTCTCCCAGCCCGGATCCTGCACACCGCGGAAAAAAACGAGACATGTGAAGAAGGTGACACCACTGCTACTGGACATGCCAGCCATCGAGGGTTGGTGAGACACAATCGAATGAGTCTGCCAATGAACATGTCACGAGTTGAGGCCGCAGTGCGATTGTCTGCCGTTCCGTAGCGGTAGCAGGGATTCATCATGAAATATTCCTCCCAGGGATTGAACCCGGGTCCGACCCATGAGGGACGCGTCATAGTCACTATACCATATATAGTCAAGCCCTTTGCATAATATAGATGCACGGATGCACGCCGAAACTTTTCGAGAAAAACTCAGTGCAAGGGAAAGCCAACCTCGAAAAAGGACAACGATTGGGTCAGCTAGCTGGCGCTTTGCTTGAAACACAAGAACTACATGAATAATCTGCTGATCATGCTTGGTTTAACATTCAAGCAACATCAGTTGTCATGGCTTGGGCTGCGACCCATATACCTGAAGAACAGCACAGCAACACTCCGATGAAGCCATCTGGTGCTTGGGCCCTCAATTTGGGCGCATGCGGCGCATGGCACTGGAGTTGCGGCTGAAAAAACACCCTCAGAGGTTCCAAACCCAAACAATCCATGGGACTGACCATATTTACCTACATTGGAGTTTATTGAAATTTGGGTAAAACGTGCCATACTTGGATATGTTCAGGGAAATGACTCAGAACCAGACTTGTCAGGGAAATGGCTTTGGAGCCCTCCCACGGGTTGTCCAGTCTCGAAGTACAACTCGAGAGACGTCCATGTATGGAATACCTCGAACGTCTTCTCGCGCAGCAATGTCTGCTTCTCATAGGAAAGGCACCATCTTGGTCCGTGCGCTCTGGCGTTCTTGTCCCCATCTTGGCGTTCTTGTCTTTTTGGTGGCAATAAGGATCCACCCACCACTGGTTCCAGGCATTTCCAGAGTGATGAACATCATTTAGTATATCAGGAATTCACTATATGTTTTCTTTTTGTTCAGTGCTTCTGTGCTTTGATTCATTGTTTCTTTTTGCGTAGGCGTTCTTACCCGTTCCCCCTTCACTACAATCAGTAGTTGGGCGGACAAAGGAATGGTCCCTTTTGGAGGAGTGAGTGATATGGGTTTCGAACGCATTGGATTGGGGACTAGCATGTGTTCATTCATTTTTTTCATGGAAGAATGCATGTAATTGTGTCTCGGCGTTAACGCTCGAGGCTGGAGCTTAGGTGTTCTTTATAAACACAGGCAGAATGTTCCTCCCAATATAGTCAAGCGGATGTTTATTTGCATGCATGAAGATCTAGATAGCTCTAGGGACACCTACATTGGGGTGGTTTCGGTGGTCAATGATGGTTGTAATGCGGCAATGCGGCACATATTCCACAATATTCCATACATGGAGTGTCTGGGAACGTGACCAATCAATAGGGATCAACAGCTGTTCCACAGTGTTCGGTCTTCCAACAAAGCTAGGCCGCGGCCGAACGACTCGGAACGACGGCCGTGACCTGCTCTGTTCACGCTGAAATGGTCGGAATCAATACACACAGGATCCTGTGCTCATCCTTTTTAATAGCACTTCCAACTCGGCCAAACCCAAATGATCTTGAAGAAAAACACACCTAATAGCACTTCGGCCACGGACAAACATCCCCAAAATAGGTTCTAGCAAAAACAAACAACAAAGAAAAAGTGGAGCAAGGACGTGCCGTCGTCGCTAGTTCAAGCCCAAAGTAAGGTGATTGCCAAAGTCTGGTTCATGTCCTTCAGGACCCAAACCTGGTGAAACCTATGGGGCACCAGCCAACATTTTGTATTTGGAACCTGCACGTAGGGGCAACAAATGACTGGGGGCAACCTGCGTCATTGACGGCCCTATGACTTCCCCAGAACACGGAAGCATGGCTCAACGGATGCTCAATCTCTATATAGAGCTGGTTTTGAGCTGTCTCCAAGCATGGCTTAGGTCTTGGCGGCAAACACCTCAGAGTCCGACCATGAAAGGACCTCTAGTTTCACAGCGTCACAACCGGCGCCTCAGCAGTGGCTTAATGGAAGTCAATCTCCATTCCGCTCACAAAAACAGCGTTTCACCCCCCCCAGATCACCCCTTTCCCGGTCTAGCTTAAGCTTCGACGCTTCTCGAACCTTATGGCATCCCTGAGCTCGGCACGGTGCCCACGCCTTGCAAGCGCAGGCGCAGTCCCAATGCTTCCTCGGTGCCCGAGATCTTCCGCACGCTGCCGTCCTCGGCGCGGCCCGCGAACAGCGAGGCAGCCGGCCGTTTGGGGAGGCGGAAGACGAAAGACATCGGAGGTGAATCTTTACGGCCAAGGGTCCAAAGAAACGGAAAGTCGAATCCTATCACATCCTATACCCAGACACTCCATGTATGCCATATATGCCTACATTGGGGTGGTTTGGGGGGTCAATGTAGGCATATGTGGCATACATGGAGTGTCTGGGATAGAGAAAATGGTGGGAAAGACTGGCTGATGCCAGTCTTGACGCCACCACCAGCCTCCAATGGCACTGGTCTCCGGCGATGGTCACGGCGCGAAGAATAACCCGGAGGAGGTGTCTGAGACATGCTGGTTGGTGTGACAGAGAGTACTGTTGTAGTGACAGTCTGGGAGAACAAGGCCTGAGAATACCAAGAAAAAACGGAGAGAGCCACTAAGGAGATGTGAAGATGACCAGGCTCAGACCAAATTAAATGGGGTACACTCGCTGGAACTAACATGGAAGTGGAAATGGCCCCTTGGAAAACAAGGGTCCTCTATGTTTATTGCCACTTCTAGGTTAGTCCGAGGAAGAGTAAATGTCTGCAACTCCACACGCAGAGTATCACGGAGTGTTTGAGAGGGTACATCACCGAGTCAACCTGGCCCGTATGCTACTCTTCCGCCTCTTCCGCTGGTGCATCCGCAAAAACTCCGGTTGTTTGGAGGACTCCAAGATCCGCGCCCCAGGCGCTTCTTAAGGTGCTCCCCGCGTTGCGTTGAGGCGCAGTGAAGGAAACTGTCTCTTTTTTTTCTGGCCAACCTGATGGGTGACATACTGATTGAATCCGATTGACATATATATATATATATTATACATATATTGATGGATGGAACCTCGATGTCAACCCGTGACCCCCATGACCTTACGCATAACGTTCCGAGTTTTTATCACCATGCCTTTGGAATGCGGATAAGTTCGATCCCTCTCTGGATGTTGCGGAAGATGGTGACGTGTTTTGTCTATTTTTTTGGGGGGGGTTAATGATCAATGTTTGTTTATCACTGGGGGCTGCTTTGTTTTCAACGTTTCATCCACTCCGCCCGAGCCGCCCCGCGCTCCGCGCCCATCCGCCGCCGCTCCGCCCCCCCGCTCCGCCAGAAGAGCCATCGTCCAACGCCAAGCGTCGATCGAGACAAGGAGCGATCCATCGGGCTGCTCCCGCACCTGGCGAGGAGGTCGCGTTAACTGACGCGGTGACCGATCCGTCGGTTTGGTTCCGTTTGGTCCCGTGTCACGACTCCATGGGGAGAGAAGTATCCAATGACTGTGAGGACCGTAACCTACCCAACTGGGAGAGACGAGCAGTCGGGTTCTTCAAGCTCTGTTTTCATGGGGAGAGAATTTGACCACCACTGTCACCCCTGAAAGAAATACCTCATTGACGTAGGTAAAAATGTCAGTCCCATGGAATTTCTCTGGGTCTTGAAGAGGGTTTCACGGAGAACAAAGGAGACCAAGGGATGATGGTTTCTTATGGTTTCTTGGCACGTGTCCAGAACAAAGGTGAACCAGAAGTTTCAAAGGGATGCCTCTTGCAGGGTAGGGGTGCCCACTATCCACTCACTGGATGGCACCAAGCACAAACCCCTTTGGAACTCGACGTCCTCCAACCTACTAGCGAAGGCCTCCAACCTATTAGTAGTATAGAAAGAACTGCTCCAATCAACTCATCCCCAACAGTTTCTGCGATGGTTCCATTGTTGCCGTCACGGCGCCCCGAAAAAAGAACGTCCATACAAACCGCCGGGGAATTCGACGGTGCCCCCCGTCCATACCGTCCAACGGAGCGGACCGGACCGCCTGCGCAGCGATCACTGGTCCGCCCGAAATCTTGAAGAGGAAGGCATCCGGTGCAACCCCTGGGAAAGCGCTTCGCATAGATGTCGGGATGGGATCCTCATCGTCAGGTCAAGGTGTCAAGGTGTCCAAAAATTCCCAAAATCTGATCCGAGATTTGGAGTGGATGGGGATGTGGAGGGACAGGTTTGAAGAACCCTATGGCACCTATCGCCTATCCATGCCTAGTCCACATGGACTAAGAGGCTAAGAGGGATTGGCCTCCTCGACTGGGCTACGGGTCATGGTGTCTGGTCTAGGATAGCAACCAGGCAGCCTCCAAAAAACAAACGGGGGGCCCAAAAAACGGGTGTAGCAACCAGGCGCCTCTGTTGCTTCTGGCCGGCTCTGACCGAGGCGCGGGTGACGTCAAAGTGATAGCGGAGGCCCTCGAAGGTGATCTCCAGGTTCATGGAACAGGAGCCCTTGACCTCCCATAGCAGAGCTATCCAACTGACCGGAACTAGGACCGTCACCAGTCGAACCAGGGCTCTGACCCACCTCTGTTGCTCCCAGGATGTCCCAGGTCAATTGCAAAGAGGTCACCCAGGACCGTTCACCCGGATCATACCTGTTGTGCTGGCCGAACATGGTCGCTGTGAGTACACATACGACATGGTTTCTGTGATAGGAAGAATCATTTCAAAGGTTTTTCAGGTGGAACCCTTCAACCCTCACCCGCTTTTTGCTGGGATGAGTCAAGATTGATGTTGATGTTGATGCTGATCATGAGGATAATGATGAGGATAGAGGATGATGGTGATGGTGATTGCGCAGGATGTGGAAGCAGAATCAGTGGGACCTTTTGTCACTGATTCAACCACTCTTATCATTCATGCACCTCTTGTTTCACCTGCTGAAGCTATTCAGAGTTGGTAATTTCACTTCTTTATTGGAGTGGATTTCTATCGGTCTGAGTCTGAGGACCATATTAGGCCTCAGCACTAGCTGAGCTATAGCTCTTCCTGGAAGCTTAACACAAGCAAACCTTCTATATTATATATATATATAATGTAATATAGCCTTTCCCTGTTCCGTCCATAAATTCCAGTCAATCTACACTTCTGTACACCAAGCAAACAAGAAAAACAACAACGCAGCGGTTTCACTTGACCGCACCGATCGCTATGTCCAGAACACTCTCCTCCAGCATATAGAAACGCCGAACGCATAGAATACCGCGTCTTCAGAAACACTCTCCTCCGACCTGCATCGAAAACGCCGAACGCTGCGGACGTTCGAATCGCCTGATGCAAGAGCCCCAAGCGGCGCTTCTCGATGGACTTCACCAGCTCCGCATCCTTGGCCTGCACGTCTTCGAACGTGGAGGTCGAAGTTTTCAAGTAGACGGTTGAACAAGGACTCCTGACCCCGCATATGAAGAGCTTCTGCAATCCAAAGGTCGGGGAGGTTGGATGACTCAAGAGTCTACATTCAATGCACAATGGAGATGGAAACACCGAAGCATTCAGACTCCGCGGCTCGGTCCCGGGTCTCGGCATCGAGGGTGGCTAGACATGGCTAGACTGGAGGGTCATGGAAAACAGTGACTGGAGTCGTTACAAAGACCAGTTCATGAACCAAGGTTTTTTAGAGATCATGAATTCACACATCACATGATTCATTCAATATTCACACTTCTTTTCCTTGGCCCAAAGAATCTACTTGACCCCCCAAAAGGTTTTGGCACAGCGGTGGTACTTGACCCCCCATTTTGTTCTGCAGCTCCCAGTTTCGTCGTTCGAGCTACAGACCTGAAACCTCCAAACACCAGAACGCCAGAACGCTCACTTGAATGCCAACTCTCAAACAACATGACGAGTGTCCAGCCCTTCAACGCCTTCAACCCTAGCCTGCCTAGCTCTTCACCTGGCCACCTGACTAACACCGTACCGAAGGTCACCCTGCTTCGACCTTTTTAAGGGCCCAACCCTCCAAAACAAACAACACACACACACACCGCATTGGCCTCTTGGAGGGTGCTGGTATAAGTCTTCATCTTCACCCGTGCTTTTTGTTTGGGCGTTTCGCCTCAAACCCAGCAGCATGTATTTGTGCGCAGTGTCATTTTTTCGGCAGACGGCCTGCAACGCACGGAAGGCACGCAGGACGGCGGCATAGAAGACCACGTCGGTCTGCCTCAGGGTCGGGTGTCAGGCCTTCGATCGAAAGTCGAGCATGAGGAAACCACCCCTAAAGGTCAAAGACCTCATTTTACTGCATCATACAAAAGCACTAACTATATGATATTTATATAATGATCAAGGACCAGGTTTTGACCTGGGTCGATCTTGGACCTGTGGGGAGTTGTGGACCTCGCCATGTTTGAACAAAGAGCTGTTCCTATCTGTTCCTAACATTAACAAGCAACACCCAAAGGACCCCAAAGGGTAGTTTGGGGACCTGTTTGACTGGGTGGTGCTGGTGCGAACAGGAGGATCACTTCCGTCAGCATGTCTCCCAGGTTTCAAGTATCTCAGATGATTTTCGGATCATTGAGATCATTGAACCAGAATCTCGGCCTTTTCCCCGCTATGTCTGTGTCCCATGCACCAACTCTCTCTCGCACTCTCTCTCTCTCACTCTCTCTCACTCTCACTCACTCACACTCTCACACTCTCACTCTCACTCTCTCTCTCTCTCTCTCTCGCTCTCCTCTGTAATTGCTGGTCTTTTCTTGGTCTCAAGGTGTAAGCTGTACTTCTCACCCTGCGGATCACGCTTCGCAACCAATTGGAATCGGCTCCGAAAATGAACGCTGCCCGCCAAACGCTGACTCCTGGAGCCGTGTCCATAAATCCTAGTGCCCCAAGTACTTCCTCGGTGGGACTGGGCAGCGTGCCAAAGGGTTCCAGTCTCACCTTCTGAGAAAGTACGACTGGAGCCCTGGGGCCCTAGGGTGGAACCAAACATTCCCGCCGAATCGTTTGGAGTCCAAAAACCCATGAAAAGGTTGGGTAGGTGATCCATGCACTGAGGGCGGCGCTCGTACTTCAGTCGTACAGCTCGCTCGCGAATCAGCCCATCCAGCCAGCTGGTGTCGATGCTGTTCACACGAAAGGCCTCGTAAAAAGAACGCTTGGCCATGGAGCATGACGTTTTTGCTTGGGGCCTCATGGGAACAATTCTGGTAGCGATCTCTACCTCCAGGTCTATCCTTGGCCCTCTCTTCAACCACCTACGGCCTACGCAGCCTCTCCCAAGTCTGCCTGGCAATAGCCTCTCCCAAGTCCCCGTTGCAATTTCCTTCGCCACGCTAGAGGGCCATCATGCCATTTGCCGACGCACAAAGGTTGTACCAACTGACTGCCAGCGAAGTTCAAGTTCCCTAATCCCGAATACCTATTTAAAAACATTCCCTAACTTAAAAGACTCAATGTCCGAGTCCGAACCCTAAATCCGGCTTATAATTGCTTTTAAGTAGCCGCCATTTTAAGCCGCTATACTAAACTACCAACATGGTCGATTTGTTACGTATGTATTTTTAAAACTAGGTTCCCCAAAACTCCCACAAAAAAGGTTCCCCCAAAACTCCATCAAAATCGACCATGTTGTGTTGCTGACTCTCCGCTGGCTGTCCCTCGAAATTTGCACCGCACCTGCCACAAAATTTGCACTTCAAGGTCCACCAAGTACTGCACCTGCCACGAAATCTGCACTTCAAGGTCCACCAAGTACTGCACCTGCCACGAAATGTGCACTTCAAAGACCACCAAGTACTGCACCTGCCACGAAATCTGCACTTCAAGCTCTGCGTTTTATATGCAATTAATCAATGATTCAAGGATCCTCCCACTGACCCTATTTCGGACACCCCGATTTCAGGGACCCCCTATATTTAAAAAGATGCGACCGAGTTATTGTCAATAGGGGGGCCCGTGTTTTTTAGTAGATGGAGGGGATTATTCAAAATATATTCGAACAAATGAGCCCTCAATCTTCGGGTGTGGCAACAGGATGCAACAGGATTCTAAGACATCTATCATCCTCTCTTTTCATCACACCGAACCTGGGTGTTGCCATGTGTTGCCCAGATCTCCCGCCTCTGCTTGCAGGAGTTGCACCAAATAGTCCGTGGGGGTTCCTGAGAAGGCGCATCCAAACGCGCGCACGCTTCAGCGGCGCACCGCCGATGGGTGACCGTCTTCCTGGACCAAGAGTGACATCAGTACCATGAGATATCGGATGTGGATGTTTTTTGAGTGGTTTTGACCCATCTCACAGAAACACATGTCAAATGCCGTTGCTCTTAGAGATGTTCTCGAAAAATATGCGGCGCCTGGTGGTTGTGGTGGGAGTGACTTTGGACTACCTCAAGATCCCTCAACTGGTGGTATTAGTTTAAACAGCCTCTACCACTGGGAGTGAGACCACCAAACCAATCACAAGCTATAACCAGTACGTACCGGAACAGTAAAGCCCTGATAAGCCCTGTGATCTTTCTCAAGCGCCGCTTGATGTGGGAGTTGCGCCCCTGATCCACTGGAGCTGCGCAGTTTATCGCTGCTGGGCTTGCTACGTGGTGGAGAGCGAACACACCGAAGTAGACCTCCCAGTTGGACCCCTGGAAAGGTTCGGGGTCAAGGGCCCAAACCCATTGGGCAGGGCACCTCCCTTTTTACACACACCCGCCTGGCTCAGCCTGGGCCATGAGTGGCCATGCTTGAAAAGTTATTATGATAAAAACTTAATATATATATATATATTGGGGAACAACCAACAGAGGTTGAAGAACTATCCCAGTTGGGTACCCCAGTGAGGTCCTATTTACGGTCACTATTAACCTCTCTTGGAACTCCAACTCTTGGAGCTGCAAAAAAGACGGAACCTCTCTCCAGCGTCCTCGCTTCCCATCCGTGCTGTCCTGCGGGACTGTCGCATTGGTCGTTTGACAGGCGATCTTGCATTGGTCTCTTCCCCTTTCGTATCCCCCGCCACAAATCCATCCAACATCCTTCTGTTGCAGCTCCCAGCTCCGAAGTCCTTGGAGCCACTTCAGGGACTCCCCAAGTCCATCCGAAGGGTCGAATCTCACCCACCACCTCCAGGTTTTGCAGTGCCAGGACCTCATTGCCGCCGGATCCGACGTGAATGGCGACCGCTTGGGCATCGCTGGTCGAACCAACCCTTCGCGCGACCAAAGTGAAGACCATTTAAAGAACAAACATTGCTCCGGATGGACTCCTGTTCGGACCCTGGCTAGTCGCCACCAATCACCCCACCCACTGTGAAGCATCTGAAGCCTTAGGGCTAAAGACTTCGACTTTGGTCCTGCAGCGGTGAGCGTAGATTACTCTACGTAGTTCCAACATCAAGTCGGTGTCGGTTTCCCCCTCAAGGGATATATACATGTCCAAACATGTACGCACTTCAAACCAATCAAACTGGGGAAATGTTTGCTATCTTGTTTGAATCACTTTCTTGGGTCGTGAGTTGAACGCAATTCCCAACCAAAAAACACAGAGACCGGCATTCACCACCACTTCACCACCTCCCCTCACCTCCTCCCACCGCGTCCGGGTCTTCGGCTACGACCGAGGCGCCAGGGTCTTCCGTGCCTCCTCCCGGTCGGCGCCCCGCGCGAAGAGATGCCCGAACTGGCTGTCGGCGAACTCGTGGATGGCTGCATGTGTCCAAACCTCGAGGCTCGCAGAAAATGCGAAAAAAAAGAGACTTGGACCGATACAGTCTCACTGCGTCATCTACTCCCATGGTGCACACACAAAGAACGTCTGGTCTGGTGGGATGGAGCATGGAACATGGTAGTTAACTTAGCCTCACATATAATCATATATACTGGTGACGGTGACCGGTGCCTTGATTTTTTCGTGTTTATCCAAGTCGGAGCTTCAACATTTTGTGAAATATTGTTTTTGTGTGTCATTCCGTCCACATGAAAAATCAACTGAAAGCAATGAACACATATTTCATATAATTGGAAAATGAAAAACACCTGGTGAGACGTGCTATACATCCCTAAACACACATGTCCACCACCGGCTGCACTTGCACACCACACCGCTCCAAGGGGCCGAGAAGTACCCCCAGCAGGCCACGGAGCTCTGAAACCTCACGTGCCAAACAAGGGACCCAAAAGAACCCGCCCCTCTCTGGACCGTTTTTGAGGAAGCGGGCAGCAGACTGCCTGCAAGGTCGTTGAAGACATTGGTCTTGAAAGAGTGCCGGGTTCAGCGGATCCATGTGTATATATAGATTGCGCAGTGTAACAGGGCTTTTGATGCTCTAGACCCAGAAGTAGCAGGGTGACCTGTGAACCTGGCTGTATATATATATATATATATACCCTAGGGCTCCTGGATACCTTCTTAGGGTCTTGGACGGTGTTTGGGGTTCGAGGCCTGCCTGAGCAGAACTTATAGGTCATAGACCCAAACCCACTCTCAGATAGAGTTATAACTTAACGCACGTGGGGTGTTCGTCAAAACTGTATTCTTTGAACCACCCACATGTTCCATGTACTGCCTGCCACCCTCAAGCTGCCCCGCTGAAGCTGTGGTTTTCTCGCCAACGACGTGCTTCACTGTCACACGGCACGGCAGCTCAGTCGGCATCAAAGTTCTCCAAGTTGCTGCTGGCACACAACCTGGGTAAGGCCAGGGTTTTCATAATGATTTTGTAGTTGTGTCAGTACAACTGACTGCAGTTGGTTCACAAAACCTGTGGTTTACAGCTTTTCAGGAGTTGGAGCAGCGTGTACCATGATCGTATACCCAGACTCTTCCACCCCACTGGTCTGGGATACACAATGGGAACGTGCCACCCGGCAGCAAACCGGTGGTCGATGACTTAGCTGATCAACGGTCTGGTCCGAACTCCAAACATTGATTAGCGCTGCCACACTACATACCTGCAAAACATGTCTCCCTAGGGCTCCAAGTTCCAGATTTAGATCTCTATGTGTTTGGGATGGGGTTTGAAGGGCCAAATTTAAAAATAACATTCAGTATTTTTGAATATTTATAAATTGTATAGGCACATGGGCCGTCTCGATGGCCACTTCACGCTTGTTGTTGACTCGTTGACGGCCTCTACAGCTTCGACCTGCGCAGCGCACGAACTTGCAAGTCTTGACCCCAGTGCAGTCATGACTGGCCTTCATGAACATGTCCATGCCAGGAGAAGGAAGATCCTGAAGCAAAGATGAAGAGGCGCATGTTTGGGCACGCTGATGGACGCAGGTGTGCAATCTCAGTTGCGAGATGACCCAGTCCATGCAAGGTGCTGACAACGGTTCATCATCCAGGTCCTCAATCATGAGCTCCTCACCCTCGGGCTGGTGTTCCTGCAAAACAAGGTTCCCCATCCTCACTGCACTAACTCATGGTCACCAATACCTTTCCAACCTTTTGTGAGACTGGATCGCCAAGCCGGCAGCCTACTTGATCAATGACCAATCTCCGACTCAACAAGAATCTGGTGTTTGATGCGCTTGTTCAACGAACATAACTCACCAGCTTGAACCTCCTCAGGGATGCTCCACCTCCACCCTGCCATCCACTGGGCTCACAACCTCCAAGCATCTCATCCCCCTGAACTTCCATACATTATATGCCATATATACATACACCAGATATCTAGATTGTTTCTCTTATCGGAGTGGTCCTCCAAAGAATGATTTAATCATCAAGTTCAGCTAGACGACGGACGTTTCCGGGGCGCACCACGTAATGCAGCATCCCTTCCAAGGCCCATGGCTCATCGATCCGAGGTCAGGTAGGACATGGCAGGATGTTCGCGGAGGAGACTGTGTAGGTTTGTACCAGCACCCGACCCTACGTGGTTCGACATGTGAGTCCAAGTGGATGACATGCGTGACCATGAGATGGTTGGCCGGCTGGTGGCCTCTCTTTGTGTATCCCAAACACCCTCCATGATCGTGAAACAGCCCGATGTGAGCCAGAACCTTCTCAGCACGCGTCTCGGGTCCGAACCCATCCTCAGCAAACTTTGGGTCTGGACCCATTCTCTCATAACGAATTCCTGGATACAAGTCTTTCAAAAGGTGCACTTGCACAACACCGGTGTGTCAGCTACATACCTGCCTGGACTGGCTCCGTGACGTGGACGAATCCATGCCGGATGCTCTCAGACAGATCCAGCAGCACCGAAGGAAGCGCACTAAGACTTCGCAACATGGTGGCCCGCGACTTGAGATGATTTGCAGCTGTCGCGGATGTGGCGCCAGCGACGTGCGGTGACCGAGGCCTCCAAACACCAGGGCAACCTTTTTCAGTGACCTGCTCTGGAGCACTAGGGATATATATATATAGTATATTAAATATATAGATATTCCATGATTTAATACTATTTCCATGTTGGAACAGGACCTTTTGGAACATTATGTTCAATTTTGCAACTACGAGTAACCTATTGGTATATTAATTATAAAGTGTGAACAAATTATTGCTCCAACAATGATGTTGGCTAGCTGTTTAGCTGTGACTCAATGGAGAATATTTGATGACCTCGGAATGGCCATAATCAGGCCGGCCACAGGCTCCGTTCTTGAAGCCCCGACGCGTTCATAACATGCAAGTGGAATCCACCTGCGTCATAGACTCTTAATTTGTGCGAAAAAAATGAATAGAGGCTTTAATGGTTTTTCTCGAACCAATGAGTCTACAGTCTACCTTACTCCGTCAGTTTTGGCTTCCCTGAGTTCGGCGCTTGATGCGTTCGATCTTCCCACTCGTGGGCTTGAAGCCATCGTCGGGGTTTTCGGCCGTGATCCGCGCGGCCAGGCAATGCACCTGGCGCTGATCTGCTCCAGCGGCTCCGCTTGGTGCTTGGGTGGTTTTCCGGCGGAAAGCGTAAGGACGGAGGGGGTAGTTGCAAACTTCCGTCAGCAGGGAGGTCTGGCGTACCAGCAGCTACGTTTAGTGAACTACCATGAACTACCACTCTCTACTAATAAGTACATGTCTGATCCTCTTCTGGGTTTGTTTTGGCACTCCTTCCAACAAGAATCCGACAGAAACAGACCTGTCCACCTCCCCCAAACACCCAACTATATACCCAGTTCGCGGGTTCGCTGCTTCGGAACGTGCGGACACGCGGACGGACGAACAGCCGCTCCCTCGTTCGTTCGAAACACATGGGGGGGGCCTTGGGATACACGTAGTCCTGCTTCATGAAGTCGATGCGCGACGTTCGGTCCTGCAGACGAGACGTTCGTGTAGGTCCGGTGGACCGTGAAGTCTGGTCGAGACCAAGGTTACCGTGTAGATCCGCGTAGGTCCGTAAGGCTGCTAGTGCTTTGCTGATCTGTAGGAGTAAGAGATTCTAGAGATGAGGATTTGTTGAAAACAGCAGAAATCATGCAGTCATTTTAACAGTTCTTCTGGAGAAGTAACGACACTAGGAAGTAATGGTTTGCAGTTTCCCTTTATATGTCATAAAGGGATTCTTACGTATCGCATCGTATGGCCCTAGCCCTTTCAGTACAAACACTGATCAATAATGATAAAATTACTACAAAATCAAGTATATACACCTCTCCTTTTGATGCAACCAAGCCACCAGCATTATGGCAACAAACCAACCACGGCACGCCGTTCCATAGGCAACCAAACCAATCGTGGTCTACTTTTGTTGTCTGAGGTGCCTCATACATGCTGGATCATGTTGGCACTTGGCACCATCATGAGGAGTGCTGCAATGCTGCCATACCTTCCTCCAGCCCCTGCTCACCCGGTGGCTCCACCGCGTTGGAGGATCCGTTGCCATCCCGTGTGGACTCCGTCCTTCTCGGGGAGGCCATAGAAGGCGCGGATCTGTGGCATCCGATCCAATGGGATGCCCATCGCGATCTGCAGTTGCGTTGCTGGCATGTTCCTGGGCAAGGAGCAGTGTTCCTCTCGGTGAGCGAGCTCGAGATCGGACGAATCACAAGAGCACTGAGCGGCGGGAAGCTAACCTCTCGGTGATTCGCCGCAGCTTTTACAGGGTGAGGCGCGCAAACCAATCGAACCAAAACCCTCCCGAACCCAACTGGAGGTGTACAGGTTTACTGGTTTTTCGCTGCAGTTAAGGCCAACCGCTTGCGCGCGGAGAGTGCAACACGCATCGCCGTCGATTCTTCAGTGCCTGAGCAATACCTGGGACCCCGGGAGGAGGTCGAGGCGGAAGAACATGTACACTTGGTTTCCCTATGTGGTCATTGATCCACAACCCACCCCCCAATTCCTTTAAGGGAAAGGGAAACAAAAAGTCGATTCTTCAAAACAACCTATCATTCTGGCACACAAACCATCTTTTGCAACTGCAGCTTCCCCATCTCTCCCTCACCAACCGCGAAGCCAAGGCGCACGTTGGTGATGGCTTCCGTCACCGGATGCTCCACCTGCAGTCGTGGATTGAGCTCCAAGAAGTAAAACCTCCGCTGCCATCGGAGAAACCGCCACGACGAACCTTTGGAGCGAAACTCTTTGGGGGTCGGTAGACCTGGCGGGGTGGCTCTGTGAATAGAGAGTTGGAGCGACCCAGAAATGTCTGCTTCCGCTCGTGATCTTCGGCTCCAATCATTTCTGGGGTCTTCATGCATGGATCTGTGGTCGTGATCTTCCGTCCAGTCCCTCCGTCGTTCGTCTCGGCTGGCCGAGCGAAATCCCCACTTCCCCCTCTCGTCACCGGAATCCGGCGGCTGCTGTTTCCACGTGCGACCGTGCCGTCTTGGCACGACCGAACCCTCCACGGGCGACGGGTCTCGTTTGGTCTTCGGTTCCGACGGGCGAGTCGTGTGATTGGACTGACCAGGAACTTGTTGGTTTTCGCGTTGTACAAATACTCCACGGTGCCGGCACCTCACAGGGTGCGGGCAAAGCAGGCGCTTGGCAAGCGAGGCAACAAGTCGGGGTGCATCTACTCCACCTTGACGGAAAGTAGAGGGTCTCAAAGATACTTGGCATAAACGCATGAGCCAGGAGTCACAAAAGGGGTGTTGTTTGGTCCTGAAGTGAGTGGATAATGGGCACCCCTATCCTCCAAGTTCGGCACCCCTTTGTGACTGCTGGAGACTTCCGTTCTTGTTTGAAGTCTTTTTTGTGCCGGAAGACTGACCACGAACGTTACGACCAGGCGCCCACATAGCCAATGGACTGCGTCAAGCGCTGCGCCGCGCGCTCCATCTCCTGCCGTGGCGAAACGAGCGGCGCCTGCCTGGCCCAAAGAATTGAACTAGATAATGCTTCGAATCCGGACAATTCAATTGTTTTCCCAAGGTTTTAGACTACAACACCAGGTCAACCCATAACGGTTTCCCATGACCTCACCGAGAGGACTGGCCACGGGTGGTGGGTTTCAGGACGTCCTCAGGGCTCGTTCCTTCCGTCTGGGTGGAGCGGATGGCCGCATGACCCGGCTCGGCGAGCTCGGCGGCCAGGCTCTTGGAGTGGAAGGTTCACTGGTGGGTGATGTCAACCCAAAGCAACAGAAAGACCTGCGCAGGTCGACCGAAAGACAAAGCAAAAGACACCGGAAAACAACAGGGTCGGTTCGAAAGGACTGGAGTTGATAAGGTGATCTTGTGACACATTAACACACCAATGACTCATGCAATGAGCTTTTCAGCCTTGGACCTTAGGCAAACTGGACCAGACTGGGCATCGAAGGAAAGAAGGATGGTGTTCTTTTCAAGAGTTGTAGGGGCGGTCTCTCTCACGTGGGCTCCGCCAAGCACGTGGCACTGCTTGCCTGCAGGGTGAACTTTAGCCAAGCGTTCCCTGAACTCACAAGCCGGAAACACATGAGACTATCCACATGTACCTCTTATAGGATCCCTACAGGATCCGGACTGAATCCGGTATGCAACTTCATTGAACTTCAATATAGAGTATCTGAAAGCTAACCATGGCTTCTGTGAGATTAGGACGAGACTGGCAATTACATGAATTATCATCACCTCTTACCATTTTGCTTTTAGATCTATTTTAGCCCCTCCAGGTGAGTGGAAACCCTCCGTACACGGCGCTCCTTGAAGGTTGCCTTTGGAACCTCAGCGAATGGAGAAACAGATGCACCCTACCAGTCATAAAGGGATGGCGAATGGACCTCCCAAAAAACCCATAAGGGGCTATTATTAGACACCCCGTATAATAGCTTGGCCCCCCTTTTCAGAGCCAAATTGTTTCAAGTTAAGCTGGTCTTCGAAGCCAAATCATCCGCTTCCATGGTTCGTTTTCGTCGGAGTACGTCGGAGGGTTTGCCTCACCCCGTTGTTTTTTGCAGCTGATCCACGTACTTCCTGGGTAGCAACATGCTGTTCGAAGGGCCTCGAATCTTCCCTTTTGCATGGACATGTGAGTATCACAATATATCACAATGTATCACACAGACCTTACAGACCGGAAGTGTCTCCCAATGTATAATCTATCGCCTGCCCAACAACTGCTGCACAGCAACGATCACGGGTGGCCCTTCCTCGAAGATCTTCTGGAAGCGCCGCTGGGTGGAGCAGTCGCGGCCGTTTAGCGCCACGACTTGCCCGTGCTGATCACCTCGGACCGCCGAATAACCGCGCCGACCGCGTGCCGGTGGCGTGCGGGGTGCTCGCCTTGGGCGGTGAACCACGGCGCGTTGCTCGCCCGACCGGTCGGGTGGGAGACGGCTGAGTTGGGTGGCACCCACTGGAGAAAATGAGATCCAATGTGTTTTTGGGGCACCATGTGGAAGATTCCCAATCTGAACCGGTAGTGGTTCTGACAGAAGAGGTGGTTCTGAAATGCTGAAAGTACATCAGTCCACCAGCCATTGGTCGTCTGATCAGTTGTCAGGACTTTTTCGGCGGCACTTGGACCCAGAACTTCCAGTCCCTGGTCCAAGTTCAGCGAAAGTCAGCAAATGCTCGAACTTGTTCGGATGGGTGGTTGTTGCAAACTGCCAAGCCCTGGATCCTGTTTGGCATGTTTGGTCTTCAAGAGTTTCCATGCGTCACCCCCTTTCCTGCAGGAGCTTCCTTGCCAGTCCAGTCCGGTCCGGTTTGGTCCACCCCACCGGTCCGGACACCGGTCCGATCGACCGGTGTCGGTCTGTCTGACTCGCGCGTTGCAAGGAGTGAGCACTGGCGCCGCTGAAACAGCTTTTAAAAACACCAAGCAAATTCAAAGGATTTTCAGAAGTGTCAAAGATCTGCATCTCGAGGTGTTACCTCGAAATGGCCGCACCTGTGTATTTTTCGAGGGAGACCACACTGACCAATGACCTCACGGCCCCGCACTTTCTGCGCCAGCTGCGCCCTCTGCGCCAACCAGGTGCGAGTGGCCCATGATCTGCACCTCAATGTGCCGTGCACCTGTACCTGCACCGGTGCGGACGGTCGTCCGCGTCGTTCATGACCGCGTCGAAGACGTCGACCACCCCGAGACCCAATGGAGGGAGGCCTGGAGCGTTGAGCTCGCCCAAAACACCGTAGACCCCGTAGACATCTTCAGAAAGAATTGAGAACCCCGTAGACAGTAAACTGTTTGGGGAAAAAACACCAACTGACTACCTGCTGGACCTCCTGTCTCCCCTCAAATCTACATGGTGACACCTCTATGACTCTATGTGTGTCTTGTGTCCTTAAGGGACCTGGACTCGGACTGCACTGTAGATTCGATGATCAAAGGCCATTCAAGGACATGCAACGATCCACTGCGTTCCCAAAGGCTTTCGTGCGCACGAGGCACACAGCAAGCGTAGCAACAGTCAACAAGGTCAACACCTGTTGATCTAGCCCTCAATGAAGCCACAGGGGAACAAGAGCCCGCAGTCACATGACATGGTATTTCTGAGTGGCACAGTAGGTCCATCCCAAATCTCTGGCGGTGGATATACAGAAGAACATGATAGAACTGGATCGCCAATCAAGAGAGATGCATTTCAAAACTGCACTTCCTGGGATAGAGGTCGAATGTAGATCGCATGGTGTTCAATCCAAATGTCCAGCTTCTCGCATCCTTATCAGCCTCATAGATCCTTAGCCTTATTGGTCAGGGTGGTGTCATTCTTGTCCTTTTCTCCAGGCACATAATTGCATCATGAAGATTGGAGATCCCGGCACCTCTGACCTCAGTGGAGCTGTACAAAGAGGTGGTTAACTCATCGAATGAGTTCTCACTTCTCACTGATGGGAACGATCATTCCATCATAATATTCTATACCAGCAGTCACAAAGGGGTGCGATCCATGGAGGTTCGGAGTGCCCATTATCCATCCACTCACTTAGGGACCAAACACCACCCCGTCTTGTGACTGCTGGTATAATTTTGTTTGGACCATCGAATGGGTGTCCAATGGATCGAGAGATCCCCATTCCAAAGTTTCATTGGATCCAGCTCGCCGGAAATCGACGTGAAGGACATCGACGACAACATCCCGGTTCCGGAATTGATAGGATGAAAGGGTTGATGCCAAACAAAGGCCACCATACAAAAAGGACCATTCCTGCCAGTCATAAAACATGAACAGTGGCAAACCCACCGAGTTGAGTCCATGCGAAATCCCTGCATCTGCATGAAGCGAACTAAATGACAAGCCTGGCTCTTCCAGTCTGTTCCCTCTCAATGCGTTTAATTGTCCAATGTCCCAAGCACCTAGAGCTGGTGATTTCCTAAGAGGGTGTCCCTCACCTCCTGATACATGGATTGATCGATATGGGTGCTGATGCCGCCTTAGGTCCTGGAAGTGGCCTTTGGTACTATAAACAAATACCACATGTTTGTCGCATCCGCCTTCGCGGTGGACAGTTGCGGAGTGGGTCGCCTTCACGCACCCATTGGTGGTTTTTTCGCGCAACCAAAACACGCAACCCAGTGCTTCTAAGGTGCTGGACTTGAACAAAATTCTGTTCCAGTTCCTCTTTGCTGTTGGACATTCGGATGCCCTTGCCTCCACCGCCTGACCCGGAAGGACCGCGGAGCGCGACGCGAAGGACACCGTCCACCGTCCCAGAACGCGGCGTATCCCTGAGTCTCTCTCCAAATGGAGAGCTAAAGTGTCCACCTTTTGACGTCGGGTCTAAGCTTCTGGACAATATAGTAGTAACATAACAAGGTCCAACAACCAAACAACCAAACAACCAACAACAGCTACCAGCACCAGTAGTACCAGTACGCCGCCGCCGACGGCGACCGCACTACTGCTACTGCGACTGTTGCAGCTACTACTGCGGCTATACATACAACAACAACAACAACAACTACTACTACTACTACTACAACTACTACTACAACAGAAACAACAACAACAACAACAACAAAATCGAAACAGGTCTACTCCAGGTTTGTGAATGGAAATTACACGGTCAGGTGGGTCCAAAATTCACCCTACTGGTTCCTGTTTCGCCTCTTCAACCTTCAATTGGTTTGAAAACCGACGCCACCTGTTCGAACTGTTGTTTCCAAACACTGGTTGTAGCAAGCCCCATCATCTCCCAAACACTCCACATGTCTACAAAAGTACTCAAACATGCCTATATTGACCCCGAAGCCCTGTTCAACCACTCACTATATTTATATAGAAAGTAGCTGGGCCCCCTAGCAGGTGCTTCATATACACTCATAGACTCATAGACACCCAACCTCCAGTGGCTCCAAGGTGTCCCAAAGGCCATTCTAAGACACCCTTGAGAGAGGTGAGAGATCATAAAAGTAGTTGACGTACTTTAAAACATATCCACACGCAGCCAACAAAATGAAAATAAGTATATAGTAGTACTAGTAGTAGTAGTAGTAGTAGTAGTAGTAGTAGTAGCAGTCGCAGTAGTGGTAGTAGTAGTAGTAGCAGTTGTAGTAGTGGTGGTGGTGGTAGTAGTAGTAGTGGTAGTAGCAGTAGTAGTATTTAGTACGAGTACTAGGAATTGTTTGTGTAAGCACTAACGTTGACTCTCGTTCTAAATCCATTTTTCCTTCCTTTCCTTTCCTTTTCCTGCCCTTCCCTTCAATAGGCTGGAGGGGATTGGCGGAATCTTTGGTTATTTTCTTCCTTCCTTCCTTGTTGCAGCAAGCTGGCTGGAAGGTTGGTGGATAAAGTCATGACGGCCATTGTGGCCGATGGGGTTGGCCAAGCGGACCAGAGGACCAGCGGACCAAATGACCCAAGGACCACCTACACCACTGGGAAATCACAGAGATTTAACCGCGCAACATATTTTTTGACTCGATTCAAACATATGTTTGTTTGAATCAATATATAATGTTAAATACTTTATTGTTTGATGCCTACGCCCCGAGTCCCAAGGGTCCCAGACCAGTACCTCTGACCGCGCCTTCTGAGGCTTTGAGCATCACCGGGTAGCCGATCCGCTCGGCACAGCGCACGGCGTCGGCCACGCTGTTGAGACACGCCTTCCTCTGGAGAGACATCTTTCGGGAGGGCCACGTTTGAGATTTTCTTTGAGATCCACCATGTGCGAAAATGGTTGAAGTAGTTTGCACAAAAAGAATTGAGTGTATTTAAGTGTATTAGTATATGTCTTCAAACGTTTCCGCACTTATCTTAACATCGTTCCTGTGTATACAGAACCAGTGGATACCTGTCACTCTTCAGTCTTCAGACCACCGACGATCTCGGGACCAAGCCGCTGGGGCGAAACTGCCGGGTTCAAAGAGACAGCCTATCTGGATTCACACCCTTCCGGCAGGAATAGGAGCTTTCCCACCAACGACGGTTCTGTACATATACCTGCTAGGATTGCAACCATTGATTCATAAAGGTCGTTACCAAAGAACCGTGGTGTTGCTGAGATTTTACACTGCAACATGGACCTTCCAACTGCGGAACATAGACCTGCCCTTTCATCCATCAAGACCAGCCAAGGTTGGCATCAAAACTGCGCAGAGTTGGACAATCCAGGTATAGATGTTTAATATACACAAAAAGACTCAGATGGAGCCAATGGCGCAGGGACACTCAGCCGGGGATAGGGTGCCAAAAGCGGTGCTGCAACGAAGGCAAATGGAAGCTGGTCAGGTGATGTCAGGTGCTCGTTCTCAGGGTCTGAGACACACAATAAAACTCAATACACACGACATTGTGTGCTAAGCAACTCAAGAGTTGAAACCTGTTGTTGTTGTTGTTGTTTTCACCTGTTTCACCCGTCGGTTTCCACCTGAAGGTCTCGTCCGGGATGGTCCCCTCCGCCGTCAGCTGGGCCGTGAGGCCGTCGCCGCTCCAGGGAATCGACGGGACGCCTGGGGAGCGCCGTTTCGCGTTCGCCGAGGTGTGTTTCCCCGTGGTCGAGTCGGTCGTTGGATGCGAAGAGGGACATGGTGCGAGGTTAGGTGAGGACACACCGAAGATTCGAAGCTGATGGCCTGGACCTGCATGGAAGACAAACTTCCTGCGCAAAAGAAGGTGGTTCTCAATGGTTTTCAGGTACCGTCCCTTCAAGAATCATGCTAATGTGGATGGGATAGGATAGACCCCCGAAACACACTGAAATCCGAATCCCTATCAGGGGATTGTGCACTTGCACGTTTGTTGCAGGGAGGGTAAATTCAATGGCACGCTGTTTGAATGTCAAGTTCTTGGAAGATCTCCGAATTGCAGTTTGTTACAGGAAAGCTCACTGCTGGTGTCTGCTCTATGTAGCAAGTTTTTGGCCCCTTGCTACCTGTGACCCGCAGGCCAATCGTCATACACATCCAACGCAACAAAGATCCAAGATCAGTAGCACACACATGCACACACCCTCGAAAAAAAAAACATAAACACACACCACACACACGTACACACCACACACACACTCTGACATTGGTTTGCTGTTAACTCAATTCCCAGGTCAAAGGAAGGTGGTAGAACCGAAAGGTGAAGAGTCCGAGGAGTTGAAGGTGTTTGAACAAAAGTGGTTTCGCGTGTCTGCAGAACTCAGCGGTGGCAAAACGAGCGGCACAGCTGCATGAAGAAGCATGGAAAGGTAGGGTGACAGCTTGTGGAGAACTCAGCAGGTACACCCGAGACGTCTCTCAGTGCTTCCCATCTCGCTGCCTAGCTTTGTTAGACCAGGTTAGCAGCGAGATGCCTGGTCGTGATTCCCACCAAGTCTAGGACCTGGCAATTGTTGAGACCCTTCTCCTTGCAGATGCTTTCGAACTCCTCTACAAAACTGGAGGAGCCTTGGATCTTGCACCTGTTTATGGCCTCTTCTCTCACCTCTGCCCCATACTTTAGGTTCCATTCTGAGAGGAGAGCTTTGTCTGGGTTCTGTGATTGCTCCTCAAACATTGTTGCAGCACAAGAAGCGAACAATGCTTTCGAGGCGTGTGCCATGCGGTTAGCCCCCATCAGCGTGTACTTTTTCATCATCCAAATCATCTTCTGATATGCAGACTTCATGGCATAGGACAAGCTGTCAGACAGTAGGATTTCTCCATTGATTCGTCCCATTATGCTTGACTCTAGCAGGCCAAGCATCGACACAGGAATGACGCATGCTGAAGCATCAGTGGTCAAAAGATGGCTTTCATTTCTTGCGAAAACCAAGCAACTTGGAAGAATCGTCACGTCAAAATCTTTCCACAAAATCTTCAGTTCTGGAGGCTGCTCAAAAGGTTTGTTTGAAGGGACTGAGTCTCCAGTTTTCTTTCTTTTCCTTGTCTTGTTCATTTCATGAGAAGACCACCTAGTGATCCCCCTGCTTGTCTTGAAGGAAGGTCGCACCCTTTGGAACAGGGGTTGACACACACACGGTGCCGCTTGGCGGCGCTCGCGTGAGAAACCTGAATAGATACCTAAAAAGCCTTAGAAACAAAGGAAAGAAAGACAGAAAGAGCAGCGCTAAGAGGGCAAGAGAGAAAGATAGGTGTAGAAAAAAGAAAAATGAATACTTAGCCCTTGACTGGGGTAGGGAAACGAGCCTCAAGAGCCACCTAAAAAGCCTGAGAGAAAGCCCAACAAACGACGAAAAGCGCAAGAAGGAAAAGGGGGGGCAGGGAGGGGGTGTATGTCCATGTGTGTGTCTGAATACCTAGCACTCTAGAATTACTGAATACTTAGACGAAGCGAATTAGGTGCACTAGTTAGGGAGCGGGACTTTTGTCTTGCACCGCCCGGGTAGAGTAGACTAGAAAAGGGACAACAGAGGGAAAGGCACCGACGCACAAGTGTGTCGAGTACCGTTTCCCTATGTTACCCTAGTTAGGTAGGGGGTAGAACACAGGGGGGGGGGGGGGTCGGGAGACCTGCCTCAAGTGGGGTGAATGCCGTTTTTAAGCCCGGCGGCTGCCAAATTCGTTTTTAAGCCCGACGGCTGTTGGATCAGTTAATTCAATTATAGAAGTGGAGAAAGTGAAAACAGTTATGAAAATGGAGACAATGATTTCCCGCATGGCTTCAGCGCCCCAGTGAAGGGGATCACACCCAGCACCCAAGTGGGACGACTGAGCGGCTCACACTCTGACATTGGTTTGCTGTTGACTCAATTCCCAGGTCGAAGGAAGGTGGTAGAACCGAAAGGTGAAGAGTCCGAGGAGTTGAAGGTGTTTGAACAAAAGTGGTTTCGCGTGTCTGCAGAAGCGGCGCAGCTGCATGAAGAAGCATGAATCAAACAGTGGAAAAGTAGGGGTGACAGCTTGTGGAGAACTCAGCAGGTACACACCGAGACGTCTCTCAGTGCTTCCCATCTCGCTGCCTAGCTTTGTTAGACCAGGTTAGCAGCGAGATGCCTGGTCGTGATTCCCACCAAGTCTAGGACCTGGCAATTGTTGAGACCCTTCTCCTTGCAGATGCTTTCGAACTCCTCTACAAAACTGGAGGAGCCTTGGATCTTGCACCTGTTTATGGCCTCTTCTCTCACCTCTGCCCCATACTTTAGGTTCCATTCTGAGAGGAGAGCTTTGTCTGGGTTCTGTGATTGCTCCTCAAACATTGTTGCAGCACAAGAAGCGAACAATGCTTTCGAGGCGTGTGCCATGCGGTTAGCCCCCATCAGCGTGTGCTTGTTCATCATCCAAATCATCTTCTGATATGCAGACTTCATGGCATAGGACAAGCTGTCAGACAGTAGGATTTCTCCATTGATTCGTCCCATTATGCTTGACTCTAGCAGGCCAAGCATCGACACAGGAATGACGCATGCTGAAACATCAGCGGTCAAAAGATGGCTTTCATTTCTTGCGACAACCAAGCAACTTGGAAGAATGGTCACGTCAAAATCTTTCCACAAAATCTTCAGTTCTGGAGGCTGCTCAAAGGGTTTGTTTGAAGGGACTGAGTCTCCAGTTTTCTTTCTTTTCCTTGTCTTGTTCATTTCACGAGAAGACCACCTAGTGATCCCCCTGCTTGTCTTGAAGGAAGGTCGCACCCTTTGGAGCAGGGGTTGACACACTTATGGATATGCATACGGAACTGATAGCGGTGCCACACGCCAGCCCAAGTAAGAA